GCATTTGAAATATCAGCTCGGAGAAAAGTCGATATCCTACCTGAGGTGCATTTAATGAACTCTTTAATCCTAAGTTCACATTTATGAGAATATCAATGACCATGCTTCTAGTGTCTGCTTAGGTTTGAACATCATCTCATATTGATCTTGATTTTGTAGCATGAAGTGAAATTGTATGTAAGGCTGCATGTAGTCATACCTTTCCTATACTTTTAACAATTAAAAGGCTATCTGACAAGAAACTGAATTAGTGTAATTTTCTTTTCTAATCAGTGTTTTTTTTCTAAATTTATATATTTGTTTGCCTTAATTTTAAGTATGGTGTACTCTCTGTTTTGAAGAAATTATAATTAGATGGTTTGACTTGGATAAGTTCCAAGATAAATCTGAAAGAGAAGTTTTAGAGTTGTAGTGATAAATGAATATTTGTACGTTGAGTTCTTTGACAGAACTTACAAGATCACATTTATCTAATCAATGGTTAGCTAATAGCTTTAATGTTGTCATGTTCATTTTGTTTTGCCTCGTCATGGAGGTACTTTCGATTGAAAAAACAATCTTTATTCTCTTGCAGTGTCAATCTTTGGTGGAAGAACTATCAGCTTCTCACTCAACAGATCTGCAGCAGCGTGCATATGAATTGCAAGCTGTCATTAGCTTAGATGCTCCTGCTGTTGAGAGTATAATTCCACCAGACGCAAGTTGTGAAGATATTGAGGTCATATTTGTTGGCATTAACAAATATTAATTATTACAGTAACCCTGCATTTCTCCTTTTCCCTCTTATTTTGCTATTCTAATAGTCAGGTCTAATGGTTATTTAGCCTTGTGATTGCATTAAGATGGGTGAGCCTTTTACTGTTATATGCCAAATGATTTTTTTCCATTTGTTATCGACTCTTATGTTTTCTGATATATTTACATGTTGGGTCATTGGATTGTTCAAGAGATTTGTTCACGTGGAACCATAAAGATATATGTCATTTCCTTTTAACAAACATTTTTAGAGTCTGGTCCTGATATTCTTTGACTACTCAAAAACATTGCACCACTTCCATTATTTTCAGGTTTGTTTTACTGAATTATTATACTTGGTAAACATTTTTTGAGATCTATTTGATATAACCCTTGATTAGTTTTACGTGGGGTATATGAAAAGTGAACTATGTATTTGTCTCATAAAAATGTATCTCAGAGCTTTTGTAATGCGACATAATTCACTTTTCCAAGTCACAATAATATCTTTCTTGTGTTTATAATTATCTTGATGAAACGTAATTCACTTTTTGACATCATGATGAGGCATGTGGTATGTGTTTCATGGATGCATTATCAAAAAACATGATGCAACATTATTCATTTTCGACAAGAATGCAACGTAATATATAGATCCAGAAGAATGTTACTCAAGGTACAAATACTATGAAAAATGAACATGTATCCTACACGAGACTGCTTGCTTTGCTTTCTATTTAAATATACCCTATATGTCTTACTAATGAGATAAAGTTTGAGAGAATGTAGCAGCCATGTGTTAAGAAGTGTGACAATTGTAATGCCATTAACTATATCTTTTAAACACCGAACAGTCAGCACAACCTTTATTAAATTGTACATTGAAAAACATTTTGGAAAAGATCTTGGTTTAGATGAAAAATTCACAATCAGTTTTGGACTTAAATTTCTTACTTGACTAACATGGGTGAACCTTGGTACTATCTGGATACTGATTGAGTGATTCAACTTGGTATTGTACGACATGCTGTAGTTAGTTTCTTGACTTCGGTCCTCCCTGGTCTTTGCATCTTATTTCTTCCCTTTAGTTGTGGTCCTGTGGGTGCTCTTTTGAAAGGTTTTGCATATTTCTCTAGTATTCCGGAAAACCTAGATTTTGGATTATGCCTTGCATATACACCATCTCTTGTAGAGGTGATTTATTGTAAATGAGAATTAAATTTATAATTATAGATATATACAAACTAATATCTTCATCTTCTTTTACAGATTGATAAAAACCTTTCATTCCTCAATGCCTATGTCCAAGAAGCACTAGAAAAAGGCGCTCAGCCTATATTCCTGAGAATGAGCGCTCTGGAGTGTTAGATATCAGCAACTTCGGAAATCAAGATCACCATGAAGCTTTAACCCATAGTCTTAGGTTTGAGGCATATGAGCTTCCAAAGCCAGTAATGCCATCAAGAGTTCCTCCAGCTGCAGTTGCTTCCTCAACTGAGCTTGTTCCAGTGCCTGAACCATCTTATGCGAGGGAGACCCGCCAGCCTACATCATTGCCATCTGCATCAGACGCAGGATCATCAGAACTTAAGCTACGACTTGATGGTGTTCAAAAAAAATGGGGCAGGCCAACATATTCTTCTTCTGCATCGCCGAGCACGAATTCTTCAAGTTCTACTTCCCACAAAACAACGAATGGGGTCACTCAAGTAGATAGCGTGGGCACTTCAAATTCAAAAGCCCGTGATACTTATGATTCGAGGCGGCCACAGGTTGAAATTTCTCCAGAAAAGCAGAAGCTTGCCTCTTCACTGTTTGGAGGTCCATCAAAAACCGAGAAGAGGCCATCTTCTGCCAGCCATAAGGCGTCTAAGGCGAGTAGCCATACTTCAGAGAAGTCCCAAGCGCCAAAGGCAGCAGCTGCACCCACTGAGTTAATCGTGAACCTGCTCCAGACTTGCTCGACTTGGGTGACTCAACTAGTAGTAGTTCTGCTCCGGCCATAGATCCTTTCAAGCAGTTAGAAGGGCTTCTTGATCAAACTGATGTCGCTTCAAATGTGAACCATGGTACAGCAGGTGCTGCTAAGACACCTGATTTTATGGGATTATATGCAGATACACCTGTCAGTGGGCTCGGTAGCAGTGTTGGGGATCTTTTGCCGACCAACAGAGATGAGTTTAATATTACATCTGAGTTATCAAATGCCACAAGGACTGCTCAAGGCGGGGTAACACAGTTTAATAAGGGTCCTAACCCTAAAGATGCCTTGGAAAGGGATTCACTTGTAAGGCAGATGGGCGTGACGCCAACAAGTCCGAATCCCAACTTGTTTCGAGATTTGCTTGGCTAAACTGTTCAAATAGCGGAACTTTGGTCATGATTGCTGGTGAATATTTTCTTTATGGTCTTTTGGAGTGGCTTGCTGTATGATAGGAAACGCTACTCATTCATGAGTATCAAGGCCAAATGCAGAGTTGTAGAGACACCCATATGGAGTGCTTTAATCTCCAGGAGCGGTGGGGAAAAAGGAAAAAAAATCAGGTACAGGTTTGTATTTGCTTGGATGCCGTTGAGATAATTCAACGTGGAGCTTTTTCTTTGCAGCTTGTAGGAAATACGGATCTGTCGTGCATATTTGTGTACATTTACACTGCTCTGGCTTGTTATAATGTTGTATGAAGTGAGTTTGTGTTTATGTTTTAGGGACATTTGTTCCTTCTTTTAGTAAGTTTTACATGGCATCGGTTCAAATTGTAAGTTGTAGACTCTAGTTTGTCCTTGTGACGTTATTGAGCCCCTTTTGTATTTTTTTTTTTGGTGGATGGAATTGAGCATTCAAACATTTATAGCACCCACTCATATGCAATGACAGTAAGTAATAATGCTCCTTGGGAGAATTGAGAAGCTTTCCTCCCTTCTTTTTCCGTCTCTTATCCAAGCTCTATCACATAAAATGGACAACCATCGTTAGATCTTAATTCAATGGTCAGGATCTTAATTCAACTGTTAGGACCTGTTTGATGACCATTTCTTTTTTGGAAGTTTTAACGAAACACTATCGATACTGTTTACTTTTGACGAAAATAACATTTTTACTCTAAAAAGTTATTTCTGATGGTATTTTCTTACAATACATTTTTGTCATTTTGATTAAAACTCAGTTTTGAAACATTTTTCATTAATTTTCCTTTGTTTTTCAGATGTAATGATGTTGAAAGCACTAAGGTTGCAATTGCTTGGGATATATAGATTAATGCTACACTAATCACATATTTATACCATTCATCTAATAGAGAAAAAGTCCATCAGCATATGCATCATATTAAAAGATGATACAAATATGTGATGTAGTATTTCTTAAAGATAGACCTGGCGATCACATCAAACCATACACGACTCGTTTGTTTATCCTTTTTTTTTTTTTTTTTGTAGGAAATTTTTATCCTTCAAAACTCTTCATTAAGAAGACAAACCTAACCCAAGCAGAATATTTATCCTTCATTCATTTTATTTTATTACCAATAAAAAAAATAGTGCTAATCACACACACCTTTGTTAATTTTTGTCCATTGAGCTTCTTTAATTCATTCAATCCGATAGTCAGAAATTAAGAGGGGCGTGTGAAAGATAAAAATAGATGTGTAAATAGCACCACGCCACCACCTTAAAAAAAAAACCCCAAAAAGTATTGAATGAAAACCTTCAAATCTCCGGAACCAAAATTCCCAATACCACCAGAAGGAAATTTTGGAGAGTGAAAAAACGAAATGAGAGACTAAGATGTGGAGCATACCAAGCCTGCCTCTTCGAAGGGCTATACCGCATAAGGAAGCTATGCTAGGAAATCTACCAACCCTATTAACAAGGAAGCTAGACTGTGAAGCACATCCTCCACCAAATTGTAAGCATGTATGACAACGCCAATGAACTAGGAATCAACAACCCATAAGATTAATCCACGTGGTGCCCTATGATTGGACAAGTTGACCCGCTTAGCGCCTCTCCATCGCCAGAAATCAGCAGCAGAGAAATGGGTTTAGTTTAGTTTAGGTAGGCTGAATATGTCATGAAAAGAAGTTTTCGGTTTGGTTGTACGAGGATGATATAAATAAGGATAACTTGCAAACAAGAATGTAAATGAACCTCCAAACTTGAGTACGATCAGAGCAAACGTGAATAATGAACAGTCAAGCAATAACTAAACTATAATTCCATCCATTTGTTTCCTTCCTAACAAAAGTACATGACTTGCTCAGGTTCTATAACATAATCTCGCAATATTATTTATTAGAAATTCATGCAGACTCCAAATACAAAGTTTCATGAATCCGTAGCATAAGCCTTCTTACACATATATCCAAGATTGCATTTATGAACTGCCATGCACAGAGCTTTTATATAAGAAATACAAATAAAAGACGGGAACTTAAAGTTCGCAAGCATGTCTCCCCTAGAGACTGAAAGATAAAACAAAATCAGAGTCATGCTAAGTTCAGAAGCATATAAACATGATAGAGATTCCAGACTTCTTAACCAGGATCATGTTTGTCGGCACCATGATGGTCTGTTGGTGGAACCTAAACCATCGACCATAGATAGAAAGATAAAACAACAATACTACAGCTATGCTACGTTAAAAAACATTTAAACAAGGCGAAGTTCCAGTCATTCTCACCAGGATCGTGTTTGTTGGCACTGGAGCAGCATGTTTTAGAACCTACATGATCAACCAAAATAACCCCGGCATTTTGAAGATCCACATAAGCATTTATTTTTCCTGTTGGGTCCACTGTTACTGCCAGCTTCATTAGAACTTGTCCCATAATCATATGTCAACTCTGTCATAGGGGGAATGTGTCTGATGGCATAAAAAGCAATATGGACAAAAGACTGATTGTTGTGTTCATATACAACTGGTTGCCAAAAAACATTTGGTGAGCAACTGTGATTAATGAACCGACCTACATTCCCAACATTCTTGGCACTTATGATCAGGCGATATGGAATGTTATAATCCTCATTAACATCATGAGGACTCTCCTCTAGTAATCCAGGTTCATAACTCCACTTGAACGATTCATAATCACGGCCTGTGTCAAAAATATATTCATCATTTTCCCCTCCACCCTCTTTCTGTTTTAACTTCGCTTCATCTATAACTTCACCAGCATACTCACAAATAAAAGCACCAGCACGAATAGAATCCCATGACCGGAGGCCCCAACCCCTATCCTTTGTCTTAAACACTTCCAGCCGCAATTTTACACCAGTTTGGGATACCCGGTTTTTGCAGTTGGGAGTGCATGGACATGTAGGACTACATTCATGTAACAATTGTTTACGGCTGACTAGAATCCCATTGCTAGTATAAGGAAAATCACCTCCATTTTTCTGAATGCAAGAGCAATTCATATCACCTGGCTGGCATGCACTGCGGCAATTGCAGCCAAAAGAAGGTGGCATGAGACTGAATGATTTAGTATATTTGAGTGTAGGGAAATAAGTGAAAGATGCCAGCCCCTTTTCACTATCAACCTCATTTACAAGGGAAACAGGTACAGGTTCAGTCCCTGAAGTGAGGTCTTGAAGAACAAGTCCAGCCCTTGAGGAAAAACCGTCCTTCCACTTACGAAGAGTTTGCCAAACTGCAAAAGCTGGTGGCTGTCCAGGCACCCTTAACAGCTTGTACTTGAATATATTACAACCAGCTTTGCCCCTCTCTGTCCATGACTCATGAACTTTATATAGGCCATCATAGACATAGATCTTTGCAATTGAATTAACATCTTCTTTCATGCCCCGAATCACTCGTACTTCATTGCCGTGATGCAAATTTCTCTGAAGAGCAAGATTACCCCTTTCAAGCTTCTGATCAGCCACCTCCTTCTCTTTGTCTTTGTTGTTGCTATTTCCACCCTGGCCACTGTATATCAAGACATCGCTGTCCTCTGCCTCATCATCATAGCCTCCTGAAGAAACAATGCTTAAAGCCACCGGATCTTTTTCACCATCACCCTTGCCAGTCATGTAGTCAATTCCAGCCATCGATGGAGCATGTAATCCAACCGCACACATTTCCATTCGGAAAAAGAAAATGTCGCCAATCTCAACTCCAGGGACAACCCCAATTCTCCTCCTCATGTTTGTCCTAACCTTTTTGCTCATCAAAATGTTACCAGCTTTCAAATCTGCACGCTTAATAAGCCCAGTTTTCGTTTCCTTGTTCTCTTCAATTTGGCAGATCCTTCTCCGGAGTGCATCGAAATTCATGAGTACATAATTAACCAACTCCCTGTTACCATCTTCAATTTGAAATGAACTCATAACAGGAACAAAGGTCACGCCTGACCCATTGTTTGTTACTAAACCGCCATCTCCATTTTTCTTGGTCTTCTTTCGAGATGAACTAGCTTTTGAGGTCTTCTTTCGAGATGCACTAGAACCTACATGAGGATCAAAGAACCCTTCTCCATTGGAATCCTCTGGAAAGTCATCGGAGCCAGATGGGGCAGGAGCTCTATATGACCGGATAGGAGCGGGCATGGGACCGCTTGGTGTCCTCATCTCACTATTTAGATCAGGTGAGGCCTGAGATAGTGGTACGTTAAACGGGTAAAACGGAGGAAACCCATTAGGGGTATGGCCAAAGGGAGGCATGCCCGGAAAGGATGGGGCTTGAGACGTAGCTGGGAACACCGGCATCAAACTACGCAGAGGTCTAACATCCAAAACCCTTGACTTATCAATCCCAGCTGAAGGAGGAACAAAGTTGTGGCTTGACCCTCCTTCCATCACGAACCCTTGTCCACAAATCAACCCTAAACTAAAGTTTTTCGCTTTTCCGACAAACCTGAAAAACCCTAATTTCTCTTCAACTTCTGGGTGATTGTTGTCTAAACCCTAATTTCATTTCTCATTTTTTTTCAGAGAAACAGAAGTTTTCACTTGAAACATGTACATCTGCAAGACAATATCACAAACGACGCTACACATTACTTAAAAGTTTCATAATTTAAACAGGACAGCAAATCTCGAGCTGAAATCTACAGAAAACGAGATCTAGAACATGATATTGAAATGGGTATTAGGCTAAGATTTAGAAAAATTCGAAATTAAGCAGCAGATTTCCATGCACGAAAGCTTGAAGGGGAAAACAAGAAGTATAAAGCCGTTCTGACCTCTTTGCATTTTCAGTTGATAGCTGCGTATTTCTCCGTTGGCGACTTTCAGACACAGAAGAGGAGAGAGAGAGAGAGAGAGAGAGGAGAGAGAGGGAGAGCGTACTACTTCAGTTCCGGATGCTACCTTTTTTTTACTGGGTCTAACTTTAAATCGTCGCATGTTACTATGTTTTGCCAAATGTTGTCCATCTAGCCCAATTTATACATTTAAAAATTATAAGTTCCTCATTTTTCACTTTTTTGTTTGGACCCTCTTTTCAACTTGAATTTTAAATTTTAACTTTCTTGAAAATATCCAATAAGATTTATGAAATCGGTCAAATTTAGAGGTGTGGCTTCAATACTATTGAATCCTCGGTGTAACGATCATTAGATTAGATTTTTACAATTTTTAAATTTTCTATTTTAATTTTGGTCACTTATTTTTCATATTACTTAATGTTATGTACCACTAAAGAATAATTACAAATTTAGTATTGAAATTAACTTTTGGAGTAAATTATTGATTTGGCCTTGAAATATTACCTGAGTGAAAAAGTTTTTAAACTATTTTTTTTCGGAAAATAAGTCCTTTAAGTGCTATGGGAGCATTATTCGTTAGATTTGATTTTCACAACTGTTAAATGATCTATTTTTTAACTCAACAATTTATTTTTCATATTATTTAGTGTTGCACGTATAATTTAAGAGAAATTGAAATTTTAGTTTCAAAATTATATTTGGAGTAAATTGCTTATTTGGTCCCTGAAATATTACCTAAGTAAAAATCAAGTCTCTAAACTACTTTTTTTTTTTTTTTTTTTTTTTGAGAAAAAGTTCCTTTGAGTGTTGTGGGGGCATTAATCGTTAGAGTCGATTTCCACAACTATTAGATGTTCAACTCAACAATTTATTTTTCATATGTGTTACAACTAACTTACACGTACATTTAAGAAAAATTGAAAATTTAGTTTCAAATTAACTTTTTGAGTAAATTGCTAATTTGGTCCCTGAAATGTTACCCAAGTAAAAATCAAGTCTCTAAACTATTTTTTTTTTTCAAGAAAAGGTCATTTGAGTGCTGCTGGTGTATTAGTTGTTAGGTTCGATTTCCACAACTGTTAGATTTTCTATTTTTCAGCTCAGATATTTATTTTTTCGTATTAGTCATTAGATTCGATTTCCACTCTGATCTTCTCCAACTTCTAACCTCTATCAACCATACTTTCAATCCCTCCTCCAGGCTCAAACTGTCAACTCCACCCTGCTTCCTCCTCCAATTATTCCTCCACCCCCCCCGGGCGGCGCCCCCGCCCCCGCGGCGGGCTTCCTCCTCCAACATTGGTGTCATAAGACTCAAAACTCAAATTGACAAATAAAGATATGTGCAATGACGACGATTGGAGTCAAAACTCAAATAGTTCTTTTAGTTGACATTTGGCAAGAACTCTGCCAAACCAAACCAAAAGCCAGGCATCGAACGTAGTAACTGAGTGTCTATCAATTTTGTAATTTAATTGCCCCCAAACCAAACCAAATCCACCTATGGACAAAGGAGGAGATCTTCGAAAAAGCCCCACCTTTGTCACTACTGCTCGTCCAATGACTCCACATAAAGTTTTGAATTTTTGGCGGAACCTCCACTTTCTAAATCCGCTCCCAAATTTTTGTGTAGATGATTATGGAGGAGGAAGGCCATCGGACTCGACTTTGTCATCGTTTGTCAACTGGCCAAATCAGCCTATCATTCCTTCTTGGGTCACCAATATGGATCTGTCTGATAGCCGAGCATTCATCCTGATCGTGCATCAAACGCCAATAATGCTCAGCAAGGAGGGCTAAGCCGGCAGCACTGCCTGATTTTGCCTTGTAGAGAAGATGTTGTTTCCATCCCTGTGCCTTGGCCATAATTTTGCCTTGTAGATAGGTTTGGACTCAAATATAAGATTTGAGTTTGAGATGGTCCATTTTTACTTGTTTAATCTATATCGACTTAAAAATGAAAATGTCTGATCATGCAAAATTTTTTTCTTCTTAGACTGTTAGATTCGAACTTGAGATCTCTTCTCTAGCATGCAAAAGAGAAGCACCAATAAGACCAAGAGCTAACTGGCATTGTTGAGGGAAATGAACTCGAGAAATATTGCTAAATCGACTTAGATATAAGATAGAAACAATGAACTATTCGCATAAATCCTTGCACAGACAGCATACAAGAGTACATCAGCAAGAATCCAGTACCCAGAAGAAAGAAGAAACAAAGTCTAGGAAGTCTTTCTAGCAATTGCAAGAATATTCCAAATTTTACAATGTTCCAATCCAAAACAAAACGATGACATATGAAAGGCGCAACTTGAACCATCATGCGAAATCTTAAGAGTTCAATATAAAAGTAAACCGAAAAGATGTATTTTTGACGAAAGTACATTCAAGTACCTCACTTGAACAGAGGCATACCTATCAAAACCGACATCCTGCCTGATCGATCATACCAGGGAGTTGATGGAGGTGCACCAAATTAGTCCTAAACCATGAAATATATATCCCCGCACATCTGTCCTATTGCTCATACCTAAGATAACGTCTAGAATAACGGCAAACGGTTCCTGTAACTCACTCACTACCCATGTCTATCTCTCTCATATGTCCGTCCTACAACTTATATCAAAGAGAAACTTCTACAATAAGGTTAAATCACCACAGATAGCTCAGAATCCATATCTTTCTCGTTGAAGCCCTTTTCCTCCTTTGCCAACTCTCTCTTTGCTTCCTCAAGCTCTACCTCAGTAACAGCAAGTGCAGCACTCCGCCTTTTCTTCTCATTATCCAAAACTTCAACATCATCCCTAAGCCTTTTCACTCTCCTTGCCCTTTCCAGAAACTTCTTCTTACCCAAAGCAGATTGAACACGTGGTTCCAGCCAACCCAAGTCAAATCTGAACATCTCAACATCCTCCCATAAACTTCGAAGCTGAGCAAAGGCATCCTCATTCATATCCTTCACCTTTGTTGTTTTAAGAAAATGCAAGAGCCCTCCAAGAGCTGTCAAAGCACATTCAACAACTTTGCGATTCTTCTTACGTAAGCACTCAATCAAAGAAGGATGCACTGTACAAGCTTCCTCCAGCAGTGGGACGAAAGCTTTCTCTATTAGTCCCAACCCACAAAAATCCATAAGCTCACCTGTTGGTCCGGTGGGAACTTCCGCAAGCTCCTTGACTTCCCCCACTGGTTCGGTGGGAACATCCCCAAGCTCCTTGACTTCCCCCGTTGGTTTGGTGGGAACTTCGCCAATCTCCTTGACCTTGACTTCTCCCATTGGTTTGGTGGGAACTTCCCCAAGCTCCTTGACCTTGACTTCCCCCGTTGGTTTGGTGGGAACTTCCCCAAGCTCCTTGACTCCCCCTGTTGGTTTGGTGGGAACTTCCCCAAACTCCTTGACTAGAGTAGGGTCAGGAAGGCTTTCAGTAATAGCCTTAGCGCAAACTTGTTCAGGACCTGATGTTTCTTGGAAAGGAGTCAGTGGTTCTGAACTTGGCATAATAGGTGCTGGAGAAGACTCCGCAGTTTGCACAGAATGCACATGTGAACGTTCCTGCCCAACATGTTCTTTCTTTATGGACCGCATACGTGCAGATTCTGCAGAACTATTAGCTCGCTGGTCTATTGGAATATGGACCTTCACTTCAACAATGCACGTATCATTCACAAGATAACCTGCAGTCTCGTCATAAAGTTCACTAAGCAGCATGAATGATCTGAAGCCCCACTCACTCGTGTGTTCTTTGAACTCTTTATAAGGGCCTGCGAACAAAAAAATTAAGGAATACAAAACCTTAATCAAGAATGCAAAGCACATCACCAGGTAATGCGGAAATAACAATAAAGGAAGTAGTTTACTACAGAAGCAAATTGTCAACAAAGATGACCCCAATCAATGATCAAGAACTAATGCTGATAAGATATTTACAGATGGACTTCCTTCCATGTGTAAACGTACTTAAGCCCGGCATAACTCCGTTAGCTTTAAAAACAGAAAGTTCAAAGAAAAAATAAAAGCTAAGCTGCCACCAGTGTCCCAATGCGATAGCAAATCTCATATAATATCGGCAGCAATACATACATACATACATAGCATGCATACATACACACATATATATATATATGCAAAACTGATCAGAGTCTGGGATCCACTAAATATTATCAGCACAAAAGCTTAAAGGAAGAGAAATTCTAGACTTTTTCTTGACGACACATTCACACTAACAGTAGAAAATCAAAATTACAGTTTCATTGATAACGATCAGTTACACAATTTTACTAGAAGCTCACTCCAAATCCCTTGTTTGAAATCTTTCTGTCCAAATGCACCATAGCTTGTTACAACTAATGACGCGTGTCACATGAATGATAATGATCAGGTAAACAATTTATACTAGAAAAACACTCCAAATCCCTTGTTTTAATTCTATCCAAAAGCACAACGCTTGTTGCAGATATCAATCCAAATGCACCATAACTTATTACAACAAACAACGTGTGTCGCATAAGTGATTACTATCAGTTAAACAATTTATACTAAGAACTCCAAATCCCTTGTGTTAACTCTTTCTATCCAAATGCACCTTCACTTGATACAATGACGCGTGTTGTGTAAATGATAACGATCAGGTAAACAACGTAAAGTGTTATACTAGAAACGCACTCTAATTCCCTTGTTTTAAATCATTCTATCCAAATGCAACATAACTTGTTACAACCAATCAACGACGCTTGTCATATATAAACAACAAACAAAAACAGAATCAGGATGGAAAGCGCAAGGGAATCCATTGAATGAGTTTCAATTGCCACAACGAAAAGATCACATAGAAAGAACAGAAACATGATTCATGAAGAGTAAAAGAAATACCCTTGGTAAACTTTGTGATTGTCTTGTTGCTGTCCAGTTGATTGAGCACACTCAAGCTGAAGTGGGCAAATCTAGTCCAACCAGGTTCCAAAGTTGAAGCACTTGGGATACCCAAATACATGGAGAACTGCATTTTGGAATTTACTTTGTTGCCCTTCGGCCATACAAGGATCCTCCTGACCAAATCAAAATTATCAAACCAAAAGAGCACAATGTTAAAATTGCAGGTCATGACCCTAAAGTCTTAGGGCATCTATTGGGCTTCTATTAGACCATCTCCAACTTTTTGGTTGAAAACTAAAATTTAGGTTTTAAACTAACCCAATCATTATCCAATGATTGAGCCTAAAATATGTTTTGGGTTAAAACCTTAATTTTGGGCAAATGTAACCCAAAATTTAGGCCAGCGTTAAAGTTGGCCCACCAAAATTTAGGTTTTAAACTAACTTAATCCTTCTCAATAGTTGGGTTTAAAGTAAGTTTTGGGTTAAAACCTATAATTTGGCCAATTTTAAATACATTAAATCCAGCATCTGTAATCAAATATGATCAAATCTAATAGCCCAAATTAAATCGAACGGCTAAAACAATAAAAAAAATATTTAATATGTTTAGGTTAAAATGTTCATAAAAATAAATAATGATAATCTACATAAATTTTATTTTGAAAAAAGTTACAGCAAAAACTTAAATTTATTCTTTAATAATCTTGGGAATTTTAATTCATAACCATTGAAGCAAAAAAATTGTTCCCGAGTTAAAATTCAAATTTTCTGAGTTAAAAATTTTCTATCGAAGGATCAGAGATGGTCCAAGTGAAAAAGGTCGCTGGTGGGACCTTCTAGATGATTCCTATTTTCATTTTTTTATTTCTTTGTTTTTTAATCTGGAAATTTTCTCTCTTTCTTTCATTTTTATATTGGAATGGAGTTTCTAAATAGTAGGTACCATGACAAAGTGTACAAAAAAATAAAAAAAGGTTAAAAAAACTAAATTAAATTAACAAAATTAAGAAAAATAAACCATGACAAGTGAATCTAAAGCTGCTCTTGGGTCGATGGACTCATAAAAAAGCGATCTTGAAGGATCTAAAAAGAAGCAAAATTAAAATTAATTAAACAAATTTTGAGAAAATAATAAAAATAATACCATTTGAAACCAGCGATGGTGAAAACGTCAGAGTAATGCTTGTCGTTCTGGAGCTTAGAGAAGTTTTCGATCACCCATGTGAATGTCTCAGACACAACCTCTTCATCTTCCCTGCTGTTGTTCGTCATCTACAAAACAAAATATTCAAATTATTAAATAATACCCATATAAAAAATTTCATGTAAATGCTCCCCGTCCATCACACCAAACCAACCATGATCGACGGTGAGAGAGATAGAGAGAGAGACGTACCTTCAACCCCCACCCCACGGTTCTAGAGAGAGATGAAAATACTCACTCCCTAGCAGAGCTCACACTGCAGCACGGGGGAATGTGCGGACAACAACAAAAAAACCTCCAATTTATAATGGCCCCAGTCTGTCAAAAATGTCCAAAGAGAGTTTCCAAAGAAAAAAAAAAAAAAAAAAAAAACCAATGTCCAAAGTGATCCTACCCTCATTTTCATGTCTAACATAACGTGAGACCCATAAAATATTGGATAAGAACAAAGATGTATTTAATTTTTATCACATTCATGTACCGCATATGTGGCAAATGATGTATATTTGTTAGCTCAATTAATGATTTTATCTCATTCGATAGTCAGATATATGTCAATTTGTCGCAACACGTGGTACATGAATGTGGTCAGAAAATGTAATCTTCTTAGCATTATCTTTTTTTGACTAATTTTTTTTCCACGGTCCATGTGGTAATACTATTGCATTTTTAATGTGACCCTTGTTCATTATTTAAAATATTAGTATATGTGAGAATATCGATATACAAATTTATAGAAATATCGATATTGATACTAATATTGATTGTTTTCGATGGAAATTTAAAATTAAGCTTTAAGGAATGTCAAACACTAGTTTAAACGAAATATAAGTGTTTCTTCGATAGTCAATCAATTTTTTGAAAATATCAACAAAATTTGTAGTTTTTTTTGTAATTTAAGAATTTTTCCTCTGTGGTGTGAAGTTTTGACTTTGATCCTTTTTCATATCTTTTTGTAATTTTTTAATTGAAAAAATTTCAAACACTGCCCTTATAGTAAAAATAAAAAAAATAAAAGAAGTGTTAAATTGAACACATTGTTAACAATTACAATCTACATCAAAATTTATGTTAGTCTTTCATTGAAAAAACACACGTGAAGTTTCAAATAATTGACTTAAATCATAATCCCAGAAGATAAACTACATAGTTGGGGGATGACTTGGAGTGAAACCCAAGTCACTCCAAATCAAGATAACAAGCAGAGTAAAAACCAGCAGCAGCCCAAACACTAGCAAATCAAGATCGACCAGCTCAATCACTCCCGGTATTTTAATTTTTAACAATTTCAGGACTCGTGTAGTGTTGGAGTTTGGTGGCTTAGATTAGAGCCACGTTTGAGTCCCACATCAGCAAAGATGGAACAATTTAGTGTTTTATAAGTCATGGTACAATACACACATATTGTCGAGATTATTTGGTAAAACTTCATACCCTTTTCTTTCGGCTAGCTAAAGTGGCCAAATATCGGCACTACCTGACTCGTGAGTGCAGGGACCGTTTGAGTCATACGTGACAAGCAATCTAAGATCCTCAAGATATTCTTAATATCAATAAAATCAAGAAACATGAAGCGCAATTTTAAGAAACAGTAAGGCTTTCAATTTTATAGAAACATATCCGAGCACTACGCATTTTCAACACAAGAAAATTCAAGTACAGCTTCAACAAATGCATAATACCTATCAACCATGGCATCCCGCCTAATCGATCATACCGGGAGTTGATGAAGGTCACCAAATTATAGTCCTGCAACCTTCAAAATATAATATATATATATATATATATATATATATATATATATATATATGTATTCGACATATCTGTCCTGCAACTTATACTAACTGTCCTACAGGATGAGAAACTTCAGTAAGGCTACCGCATCCCATAACCTAGCTTGCTATCCATATCTATCGCGGTGATGCCCTTTTCCTCCTTTTCCAAGTCTCTTTTCGCTATCTCAAGATCCACCTCTGTCACAGCTAGCGCAGCACTCCGCCTCTTCATCTCATTATCCAATATATCCACATCTTCTCTCAGTCTTTTCACTCTCCTTGACCTTTCCATAAGCTTCTTCATGTCCAAAGCTGATTGAACATGAGGCTCCAGCCACGCCAAGTCAAATTTGAATGTATGAACATCCTCCCATAAGCTTTGAAGGCGTGCACGGGCATCGTCAGTCATATCCTTGACTTTCGTAGTCTTTAGAAAATGCAACACTCCACCTAAAGCTGTGAATGCACATTCAACAACCATACGGTTTCTCTTATGCAGGCACTCTATCAATGAAGGATGCAACTGAACAAACTTCCTCTAGCAGCGGAATATAAGCTTTCTCAATTTGTCCTAAACCCCTAAATTCTATAAGCTCACCCGTTAGATTCGTGGGTACTTCCCCGAGTTCCTTGACCAGAGAAGGCTCAGTAGGGCCAACATCAGCAGGCTCAGTGCAAACTTTTCCAGAACCTGGAGTATGCTGGAATTTAGAACATGGTGTCTTAGGCACCGGTGAAGAGTTTTCAGCTTGCACAGAAGTCACAATCGAAGGTTCCTGTCCCTTATGTTCTTTCTCTGAGTGCTCCATACTTGCATAAACATTACTTCCTTGGTCTCCAATCCTTATTGAGACATTAAGCTGGGCTTCAATAATACATGTATCATTCACAAGATAACCCGCAGCGCTGTCATAAAGCTTGATGAGAGGGATGAAGGATTTGAAGCCCCACTCCTTGTGGTTTTCTGTGAACTCTTTTACAGATCCTGTTATCGAGGAAACAAAAGCAAATAATCAAGAATGCAAACCAAGTAATTAATTAAGGGTGAAGTACATTTCGAGGTTACAATAGAAGTCGATTATCGACATAGAGGAATTCAATCAATGATTAATGCTATCAGCAATAATAGCCACATCTATATTCACACACACAAACACAGAAACTCTTCGGAGAAAAATCAAATCACATATTCAAACTTACTAACTAATAAACCAAATATTATCTGACCCCAATATCTCAAAACTTTCGATTTATTCTCCAACAGTTCCCAAGAAGGAGTATAAATGCCCAGCTCAGTCGTTCTTTGTATCTGTACGATGCCATGTCTGAGCCAGCAGGAAAGGAAAAACATGTTGTGCTTGGCATGATTAGCATGACATACTATCACCCCTGTTTTGAATTACTCGTCATGCATGTCTTCTAGAGCCTTGAGTATGGTTTCAAAACCTTCAATACTCTAAATAATCCCCTCTTGAATTTGTAGGGGATTAATTTGTCATAAACTTAGAGCCAAAAACATCAACTAAAAATTATTAATTCCTGCTACATCAACATTACATTTCTACAAACTGCATGGCATTACACACCCTAACGATATGAAGAAATATGTCGTCAAAATGCAAATCAGGCGGATATCACATGAATGTCTCTCCAAAAAGGGAAGGGATGAGTAAAAAAAAAATGCGTATATGGTTCACCACTCCATGAGGGATGAAAGTTAGAAAATCAATCCAAATCCCTCGTTTTAATCTTTCTATCCATAGGTATCCTAATTTGTTCTGAAAATGTTATACAAACATGAATGTGAATGAAAAGAGATGCACTCGAGATTATAACAATACCGGTTGCAGGCTTTGTGATTGACTTGTTGGTGTCAAGTCGATTGACCAGGGTCAACCTAAAGCTGGAATATCTACTCCATCCAGGTGCCAAGCTTGAAGCATCGGCAATGCCCAAATATATGGCCAACTGGACTAGGCCATTAGGATCTTGGTCAGGATAACCACTTTGGACGTACAACAAGGATCCTCCTGTTCAAACCAAACCAAACTAAAGCTAGTAAAAAACTGAAAATATCATTGACCCTTGCACCTGAGTTTCGAGTTTGAATCCCCGCCTCTCAATATTTGCTTATAATTAGAGGGAAAAGAACTGCAAACACACGCATGATATGGCACAATGCCTTATGGGCCGTGCTAGGTTAGATTACCTGGTTCCTGTTTCCCTTTTCGTTTTTTTCTTCTTTTAGATCAGCCTGTAGTTTTTTATTTTTATTGAACAATTAATGATATATTTATGATAAGGAATGATGAATTTTGATTAAGCCACACAATAGGTCAATCAAAATAAACTGGTATTAACGTGCCGTTATCAGGAGTTGAATCTAAAACCTCTCTCTTACTTATGAAAAAGAATATTACCAGACATTAATATTAAATGGCTGTATTGAGAAATAATCAGTAGCTTTTTTAGGTTAAAATAAATAATAACTTGTAGTTTGTTTGAACAAATCCATGGACTCGTAAAGAGAAAAATGATAACCGCACACTTTTTTCTCTTTTACTAAATAATCGAATTGAATAAATCAAATATAATAACGATAGAAATATATATATATATAATGGTGTGTGTTTATTATATAAAAAATGGAGGAAATGTAAATAGAAGAAGCTCCAAAAGAACAAAAAAAATAATAATAATAATAATAATACCATTTGAAACCAGCGATGGTGAAAACATCAGAGAAAAGCTTGTTGTTGTTGAGCTTAGAGAAGTTTTCGATCACCCATGTGAATGTCCCAGACACAACCTCTTCTTCTTTATCTTCCCTGTTGTTGCTCGTCATCTACAATACAAAAAATACAGAATAAAATAACCAGACCTCGAAAAAGAAAACAAATTTAAATAAAACCCATAAATGTTAACAATAATGTGTGACAGTGTGAGACTGAGAAGCATACCTTCCTTCCAAATTTCTAATGCAAGTGTCTCTGAAGAGAGAGAGAGAGAGAGAGAGAGAGAGAGAGAGAGAGAGAGAGGCAGAGGAAGCGAGCGGGAGCAGAGGCTAGTCAGATGGAGAAGATAAGAGAGAGAGAGAGAGAGAGAGAGAAGAACATCCGAGCCGGGGAAGCACTAGGCTATTCCAGCATTTGGGGCAGTACAGACATCTAAAAGCTCCATTTCTATTTCACATGCCCGGATCAAAGGCAAAGGGAGCGTCCATTTTTTCTACTATTATTTAATTGACTGTCAAATGTGTCATTTACTTATTTATTTTAAGAATAAATTGTAACAATGGTCATTCAATCAAATTGAACAATAAACCCTTAACTAAAAATTATCATTGGTCCATTAACTCATCAAAACGTATAGCTATGGTCTTTTTCATCAACTCCGTCAAAATTTTGTCAAAATGAGTTACATTGGAAGGACCATTGCCACAATTAGATTGATTTAAAGTTGAACGACCATTGCTCTAATTTGGTTAAAGTTAAGGGATCATTTCTCCAGTTGGATTAAAGTTAAGAGACAATTGATACAATTTTTCTTATTTGATTTTCCTTATTTGCCTCTTAAT